GCAATAAACTTGAGACTGTATTTCACAGCTTAAATTTCACTCTGCAATGGCATTGCTGCCTTGTATGACAACAAGTGAGAGGCCATGCCTTTGCCATTGATGTGGCTAAAGGAGTGTTTCACAAAACAGTAATATTAAAATTGAATCACTTTATTGTCGAAATTACAGTAGTTTGTTCAGAAGGTCAGGGTTTTAAATTCCCATCTGTGACCAAAGCCAAATTATGTTTTCTCTTTTTTAAATTCGAATCAAGTTTATTCTGCTGATCACAACGCACAGTCATGATGATTAACCCTAACCCTCCTCAATCCTCCAACAGGTGAAGGATTCAGGAGGGTTAGGGTTAAGTTCATGACAAATTCATCATTGTGCAAATATCTGCATCTCCCAGGAAAATCAGGGACATTGCAGTTTTCCAAATTGTGCCATACATGACTTACAAGTACCATAGTTCAGGAAGAATTATTTTGCAAAATAAAATGTTCTGATATTTTTCGTACTAGGTTCGTACTACATGTACAATACGTCTCTGCTGGTCTTGCAACAATAACCTCACCTTAATCCTTATTAATAATTATTATTAATCAGTGTTACATGTTCATGTACATGTATGCTATTAAAATGTCTGGTATAAAAGTCAGTGGTGCATGTCATAAAGCAATTCAGTTATTCATAATGCTACTCAAAACACACGCCCTCACCTATTTTTATGGTAATGTAGTAGAATTTTAATGAAGGAAATTATCTAGAAAATCTTATTTTCCCCCCCCCCAAAAATACCAAACTTGTTACAGAGTTATAATCGTCTGTCGTATTTTTTCCCCTGATTTCTGCAGGCAGTTCTTAATGCCAGGTTTTGTTGACACACACATCCATGCCCCTCAATATGTCTACACTGGCGCGGCCATGGACTTAACTCTCCTGGACTGGTTGCAGAAGTACACCTTCCCCACCGAGGCCAAATTTGACGATCTGCACTTTGCCACCGATGTGTATCAGAAAGTTGTGGTGGGTGTTTTGTGTTTTGGGGGCTTTCTTTTTGTGGAACAGTTTTGAGCCTTTTTTTTTAATGACCCCAATTGCCCAAGACTCATTAATGTTCACCCTCATGTTTTAAATTATGCCATTGGATTTAAGACAACAGTGCAAGGTCACTTTTGTCCAGCATTGTACTCGATTTCTGAGGTTTTTTTTTCTGTTCCTCAAAGACTGCTTGTTGGGCTTGTGCACATTTTTGAACTCTGGCTCACTTCAGGGGGGTTTTCTGCATATTCTGTGAAAGGGACAGTAGCATGGATTTGCGAAATGTAATCGCTTTCATGACTTTTTGCTTGTTTAATCTCCAGCACCGTACCCTCAAGAATGGAACCACGACCGCCTCCTACTTTGCAACCATTCACAAGGAAGCCTCACTTAGGCTTGCTGAGATTGTTGGTGAGTCTGGTGTGGGTTTTTACACTTGTCCCATGTACATGTAGGTATGAGAGACAGTTGGAAGCCTGGCAATTGTTTCATACTTATCCAGCAACCAGAACGAGAAGCTTCTACTGCGGTTGCCTAACGCTCGCCTGCAGGTGATATGCTGGCCTTAGATGTCTCTGTAACCAGTAGGATGCTGTGACTTGCAAAGCGCACACCCTCCAGTGTAGAAATGCGTGAGATACGGTACCTGCCAACTTTTTTAAGTTTACTGACTGCAAAAAAAGGGCACAATTCAATTTCCATAAAAAAGAAATAAAATTTAAGAATAAAAGAGGGGGTTGTGGCAGAAAGAAGATGCTCTATGCTACACATGTGACCGGCTCTAGAAAAATGGGTAATAAGTCGCCAGATTCAGGTTGTCAGTTTTGATATGGCTGGATTGAGTACATCAAAAGCTACAATTTGATTCATGAATGACCCACGTAGTGCACTGCGTTCCAGAGATATTTAGACATTTGTATATCCACATTTTCGGATTTAATAAAAGCACTTTTCAAGAAAAAGCTCAGAAAGTGTAGCACTTGGAAACACAGTGCTTTGTAGGATTTCCTATTGAATGATCAGTTTTTCGTCTTTATTCATCAGTATCCATGTTTGTAGTCCCAAATTCTGCAACGTTAATGTTATACAAGCAAATAGAGGGAAAAACACAAAATCACATTTTTGGAGACATTTTGCCCTCTCCAAATAAAGCAGGCCATAACATATTTTGGAATTGTGCTACTTATTACCTTTTTTGCAGAGCTGGTCACATGTCAAAATGGCAGTTGTTATACACACATGATACACGTACATGTGTGTACATGTGTATAGCTTCTGTCACAGGGCTGGTGTTTTTACTGTGGGCTCGGAAAATGGGTGGTCCAATTTCAGACTTTTCAATGTTGGCAGGTATGAGTATCCGGTGTAGGATTTGCACCATCCGCAAGAAGAGCTATGGTGTCCACAATGTAAGGTACACAACAAGACGTGAAATCTTCACTATGAGCTCTAGAAATGTTTAATTCAGTTTACACATGATGGATACAAAGTATTGTGAAGAATATGGAGATGTTGTAAGAGTGATTCCAAGTTTTAACCCCTTGATGATGGGAATTTCTTTCTGGAAGCCGACTTCAAGAATTCCAGCCTCGCTTGGCCATGAAGGCCTCCTGCCAAACTGTAAATTCTCGGTTTGTGGCCCTGCGTGCTCTGCACGCTTTTAATTACACAGTGAAAAGGCTGATTGTTCATTGGCATGCGGCTCCACTCACGCTTCCACATTCCCATTGCTTCTTTTCAAAGTGGGGACTATTGTGAAGCTGGTGATTATTATGCAGATTCGGTCTTTTCATTTCTGGGCTACATACAAAGACCAATTACAAGAGCCAGGGTCTGCCTCCTTTCACCATGTTCGCTCGAGCATGGGCCGAGAATAATAGCTGAAAAGCGGGCTGAGGATCTCAATTTTTATGGCGTGTCTTGCCGCGTCCCCGCTCGAAGAGGTTAACATCTCGCAATGCACTGTCAGCTTCGCCAGCCAAAACTTTACTGAGGTGCAGGGTCTCGTTTTTTTAGTCACAACGATCTCACTAGAGACCACAGGCAGACTCTGAGAAAGTGAACATCTTTCATTCCCCTCTCTTGCAGCAAGGTTTGGGCAACGAGCGTTTGTTGGCAAGGTGAACATGGATTCCCATTCGCCCGATTTCTACAAGGAAACTACCGAAAAGTCGATACAAGACACCATATGGTAGGTCTTAGTGACCAATCTTGAAACCCAGATGCATCATTGGTTGAGCACTGGGAGCATGGGGTTACTGGGGAAGGCTGAGGTATTTTATATATAATGAAATATGTGGCCTTCCATTCAGTTAAATATACATGTACTATAGATTTTCCTGCATTCTAAAAAAAATTTCTGTTCATAAACAGGTATTTTTAAATTTGTTTCTAAACTTCACGACCTTTCATATCCTACATGTATGTATAATTTTATCGGTAGTCATTCATTTGTGCACTGTGTTCAAACAATTTCATAAACTTACCATGCATTTTCATGACAGTCAATTTGACTTTGTCATCTGCCATTGTACATGTACGTCAACAACTTCGTCATTTGTGCTCAAAAATTTGATTTAAATTTCAGTCAACTTTGTCTAATGGTTGCATGCTATCTTCAGTACATTTACATTTTCATCTGCTCATTTTGATTTTAAACATTTATTGTGTATCTGATTTTTTTTAACATACACATTGGTCCATAAAATTAATGAAACTTTCGTATTTTTGTGTCCATTTAGTTTTTGAGCCTTACATTTAGCCTTACATTGGGCATATGCCAAGCTTCCATTTACTTTTTAACACTTAAAATGCAATTTTGTAAGTAAATTGATGTTTTTCTTATTTTATGTCATTGTTCATCTCTGAATGTCTGATTTCAAAAAATCAATTTTTGAATAATGGATTCCGAAGATAAAGTGCAGCCCTGTACTGGGATCACAACCATTGCCAACCTGAGGAATGACTCTGTGTTCCGTAAAATTGATTGTTTCAACGACTGTTAGGCATATTGCTGATAAACGCATGGAGCTTAGTACAAATACGTTCTTTGGCATGTTTCATGCACATATGTTATGACAAACCTCAAAACAACAAAATACTCAGAACAGGATAGTTTTGCATGCCAACAAACCTCCAGGTTTAGTGGTTCTGATTAGTTCTTCTTTTATTGTCCCTTTGGGCATGTGTCATATTTTCTATCACTCTGATGGACCATTTGCAGCGATGGCACTATTTTTTGTTGCCTCCCATAAAGGTTCATCGAGCAAGTGCAGTCAATGGACAACCCACTTCTCACCCCGATTGTGACACCTCGCTTTGCCTGCAGCTGTAGTATAGATCTCATGAAGAGACTTGCAGATATTGCTGAGCAGTATAAGCTGCCAATTCAGGTAGTTATCTTCCAATCCAGGTAGTTATCCCCCAATGCAGGCAGTTATCCCCCAATGCAGGCAGTTATCCCCCAATGCGGGCAGTTATCCCCCATTGCAGGCAGTTACCTCCTGATACAGGAAAACTCTTTTTCTTGTCATGTCCTTAGTCGTCACATCCCCGTATCAGGAGATTTCACAGTTTTATTTGGGGGAGGGGGTTTGTGACTAGTGGCCCCAGACAGGCAGCTCTCTGTCTCTCATTGGTTGCAGGGGTGTAATTTCTCTGGATTTCTCCTTGATTTCAGGATTTATGATTCCAAAATTCCTAATTAAAGAGGTTTAATAAATTCACGGTTTTCTACTTTTTGCACTTTGCCAAAAACAAAACAGCAAGCTCACATAAATTTCTTTGACCAAATTGAGAATTTATGGTGCATGCACTTTCCTATTTTTCAGTTGTTTTTGTTTTATGATCATGAAATTTGGGAGGAAAGGGAATCAGCTTTACTTATAACATTCGGCTATTTTTTTTGGGGGGGGCAATTGTTTATTTCCTTTTTTTTGAATATCAAAGCCTACATGTATGCCTGTGACTAGCTGAGAAACATTTTGTTGGTCCATATTTGGAGAAAGGATTACAGTAATTTGTCAAGTTGGGCTCGTCGTGTTTCACTATGCCCTTGTCCAGAGTGCCTTGGCTGGCTCTTTTGATGACAACTTTTAGTCACTCTCCCATTAGACGCACATTTCAGAGAACAAGGAAGAGATTGATTTCATCCGGAGACTTTTTCCGACGTGTTCCAGCTACACCGATGTCTACAGGCAGTGCGGATTGCTCACCAGCAGGGTAAACTATTTCACTCCCTATGACAGCGATCCCGTTTGTTTTGTTTAAAGTCCAGTTTTTGTCTTTCCCTTGGACCACGCTCTTGTTTGCACATTAAGACTCATCTAGGGGAAATAGCTTCAAGGCCTCAAGTTTACCCACAGTTCAAGTCATTCACAGGTGTGTATAAGACTTGCCGTCTATTCAAATCTCAGGTATATGTGAAGCCTGCTGTGTTAATTGGTCTCTCATGTGCCACAGCTTTTAAAGATAAAACATGCAGTGAAAATTCAGCTTAAACTCGCTGTCAAACACATTGCTGGGCTTGACAATAATGCAAACAAGATATTAAAGGAACCAGGAAATTAATTTTTTTTGGAAATCACTTTTGTGTATCTCTGTACTCTTCTTCCATGCATGAAGACTGTTGGACATCTTTTTTGAGTTACGTGAACTGAACAGTGCCCTTTTTGAAACATTAAAAATTGACCAAGCATTTCTGGACAAGTGAGGGCACTTTTGCTTTGATGCAAATCCAGGAGGACATGGTTCAGGTTGCATGTTTTCATGTTTAAATTGTGAACTCAAATTTGCTATCTTGGAACATTCCTGTGGAAAGAATTTTTGCTGGATTATTGCCATATACTTACACAGCAATAAATTGCCAAAGAAAATATCGGCCATAGCAGTGGTTAAAAAAATCTACAAATTTTCTGTGCACAAATCAGTGCAACATTGAGATTCAGTGCCTTGGACGACATCATAGTTCTGCTCATGAATATGCAAATAGCATTAGCATAAAAGCCAAAAAAGCATCAAAATACATTTACATTTGCAAATCAAAAATTTAAAATCAGGTTCATTGAAACCCAAAACCTAATTTCAAGAGTTTCTGGTAAAATTGTTACAAATATTTCTATTTCCTGGTTCCTTTAAAACTTCTTTTATTGGAAGTGGCAAGAAGATTGGAAGTGTTTCCATTCTGAAAAATCCTTTCATCAGTACCTTGTAGAGGGAGTTATTTTGCATTCACACACAAGGCGCTCTGTGTCACAAAGCATAAAACAATGTATATGTACATGTACGGTAAAGCTCCGTCCTTCAAAATCACTCACCAACAAAGTTTTGAAAAAATAGTGGGCAAAGCTGTTGTCCGAACAATCAGATTGACACGATACGCAAGTAACAAAGTGGACCTTACAAATGTTGTACATAAGTGTAATATGTAAATCTGTACACAGATATAGAGACACCACTGTTCTGCCTTGGGATGACATCACACTTTGGTTCATGAATATGGAAAGTTGTATAAGCATAAAAACCAAAATGTTCAGGTTTCTCTTTTTACTGCTTCAAAGGAGTTTGAAAACAGCACTAACATGTATTCAAGTCATAAAAATCATATTTCGTGTCTCCTTTAAAACAAAAGCATCACGTTTTTATGGCTTGGCCACTTTCTGCATTGAACACTGCATAAAAGACGCTACTCAATGCAGTCATTTTACTAAAATTGTATCCCATGTTAAATTCAGTGATCTTGAGTCATGAATTCCTGGCCAAAGTTTATGCCTCAAGTGTTTCACCTTCGCTTAGCACAAATCAAGCGTTTTTTTTAACACGTCTCTTTGGTGTAAGCTTCATACAGACTCCATTGTTCTGCCTTGGATGACATCACGCTTTGGCTCATGAATATGGAAATAATTTGTACAAGCATAAAAACTGGATCTGATGAACTTTCTTTTACTTCTTCAAAGGAGCTAAAAGTCATATTAACATTGCAAGAAAGCTTTCCTACATGTACTTGTATATGTATTCAAGTCAAAAGAATCATATGTCCATGTCTCCTTTAAAACAAAAGTGTCACGTTTGTATGGGTTGGCCACTCTCTACATGTAACACTGCATAAAAGATGCTACTCAATGCAGGCATTTCACTAAAATGTATCCCATGTTAAATTCAGTGATCGTGAGTCGTGAATTCCTGGCCAGACTTTGTGCTTCAAGTGTCACCTTTGTTAACCACAGAATCAAGTATTCTTATTTGTGTAAACTTAATGTGTCACAGAATGCAAAAAGTGACACTTTACCACAGAGCAGGAAATCAGATTCTAAGTTTTGGCATCTCTGCCCCTTTGTGACCCCTTGAAGCAAAGCTCTTATTGTGTGCCTGCAGCCCCACCCTTGCGGTTCACATGTGCCATCCAAATAGTAAATTGTAGGGGCTGTTGGCTAGTTCGCATGTAGCCTGTGTGATTGTATCAATGCTTATAGTGGACAAGCTCTGTTGTTTGAGTTTTGGAATTCACCTTGCGTGTCACTCAGGATGTAAATAATTTTCAATTAATGACTCAATGGTGAGCCTCCATTAATTATGGTATTGTTTTTTTTTTCTGGCCATTCATGTTTCTGATCACATACATGTACGTCTGGCAATTACATGTAACTTCATGATAATCCTGGTAAATTTTCACCTAAGCAAGCGATGTACATCATATTGAACTTGGATTCACTTATATAAGAAGAAAGGGCAACATTTTTATTTGCCACTGTGCAGTCACTGCATTTCATGAGCAGCTATGTGCTAATTGCCTCATAAACATAAACCTGGAGGAATTCCTCTTGGTGTCCAAAATTCATGATATGCCACTGGTCCCAATATTCAACGTCCAACAGACGTCTTGTTTTACATTTACTTTTTAGGCTTTGTTGAGGAGTTTACATTTGTTACTCGTTTTTGCAAGGTTTTGAATTACAGTTAATTAATGGTTGTAAACTTAATATTTTTGTAACCCTAAATATCCCCGAGCTTCAAAACCCTCTCACTTTGGGTTAAATATATTAGATTTATAATTTTTTAAAAAAATGAAATTTTGATTCCCAAAATAGAAAGTGGGTATGAAAGCATGACTATGTTCGTTGTGACACTTGTGTGACTTTTCATGCTTTCTTGGGCCTGACCCAATTAACTGACCCACTGTGCTGGTTTCTTGAGCAAGTATCCCACATTGCAGTGTAAAAAATTACTGCTTAGTCGAGCAATTTTAAAGGAAAGTCAATGCTGCTGTAATTAATCAGAAAAATCCTTTTATGAAGAGGCAAATTTGCCAAAGTGGAGTGAGTTATGTGAAATTATTTGTGTGAATTTTCTTTACTATTGGAAAGTAAAACTTGAAATTTAAATTTGTGTGATGTTTGACCCAGTTGAGCACCTTGAGTAATCCGAGATCATTCGTTTACTTTCATGTGTTACACATGTGCGACTGTCCCCAGTTGGACAGATACGATTAAGCGTGGGTGACTAAATCAAATATCCTCAGTGAAGGGGAAGAGCATACAATGGGTTGTGTGGTTGCTTTTGGAGGATTTTGCATGCTTGATGACCAAATGCAATTGATCTTCTTTAGACCATACTCGCCCATGGTATCTACTTGGATGAGGAGGAGCTCCAAACCATCCAAGACTATGGTTGCGGTATCGCCCACTGTGCTTGCTCCAACTTCTCGTAAGTAAACACAGCGTCTTTGCCTGTGTTGCTTCCTGGGTTCTTGGTTGGCCTTGAATAACTTCCAAAGTGGAGCTATCTTGGCACACGTAGAAGATTCGTTTACGGATACAGACGACGACATCAATCCAGTTCAACTCCTAGACAGTGTACATCTGCTGTGGGGCACTACATAAAGATCAACTTACCCATTGATATATTTTTTGACTGAAAAATGTTTAAAAAAGGAAAGACATGGCGGCCAACTTTTCAAATGCAACCAAACATATACAGACTTGCAAGAGTCATTTGAACCATTTTATGTGTGTGATGTATAGAGGCTTTGTGTGGAAGCCATTTTGCAGGGCAGTTTTTTGGTTCCTCAGGGTATGCCCAAAGGAGGTTACCCCGCAGAACAAAAGAGCTGCCCTGCAAGATGGCTACTATGCAAAGCTTCAATGTATTGCAACCCTTCAGGGTTCCTGCCACTGAGCAAGTTGAATTATGATACAACTTTAAACTTTTAAGGAATCAAGGTGTGGATGAAGGGAAGCCAACTGTCCCTGAGTTACAAATTGAATGTGCTCTCCCAAAATTGAGCTTGGTGTCTCTTGTATCTGTCAATGAATTCAAGTTTGCCCACTTTGCTTTTTTTCCCCCTAGGCTGAAAAGCGGAATTCTGGATTTGAGAAAACTCATTGAAAAGGATATCAAAGTTGGTCTCGGCACAGGTAAGTGCCATTTGATAACTGTGCAGTTTCTCCTGTCAGTAGCTCAGGCATGCTTCCACGTCTCCGTAACTCACATTGTTCTATTCTGTTGACCTTTGACCCTCTGAATCCTCACCAGATGTGTCCGGTGGTTATACCCCCTCCATGTTGGGCAGTATTCGCCAGTCCGTCATCGCATCCAACGTGCAAGAGTGCCAGCAGAGAAACAGCTACCGGAGCGTGGACTTCAAGGGGATGTTCTACCTGGCTACGCTGGGTGGCAGCAAAGGTGAGATCACTACACACTTGCCAACTAGGGGTCAAGGAGAGATGGAGGGGGCAAAACTATGGCTGTCTCTTTATGCAGCCTTTTATGGCCTTTCTGAGGGTTAAGCTAACTCTTGGGAAAAAGGGAAGTGGACTGGGCTCCCAAATTGTGCCAAAAATCCCCTTTCTTACTTATCACAAACCAAAAAAGAAAGAAATACTAGTTGTGTACATTTATTGTTGTTGGGGGAACCCTGTTGACATAAATGCTGATACTCAAGTTGGGCCTACTTATAATGGAACCCTGTTGACATAAATGCTGATACCCAGGTAGGGCCTACTTATAATGGAACCCTGTTGACATAAATGCTGATACCCAGGTAGGGCCTACTTATTATGGAACCCTGTTGACGTAAATGCTAATACCCAGGTAGGGCCTACTTATAATGGAACCCTGTTGACATAAATGCTCATACCCAGGGAGGGCCTACTTATAATCCCAATTTCAAAGAAAATAGTGGAAGTGAAGTTGAAACTGCATTCCAATACTGGAAATTCCCCAATGACACATAAATGTACGGTATAATATGGTCTTTCTTTCCACATGGCTTGATTTCGTTTTAATATTTCCCCACAGAAACTTAGACATTGCTTGATCCGAAAACTTACCGAGTAATTTTGTTAACTCCAGTGACAGGTAACCCTTTTTCATAGATTTGATTCCTAGCATTTAGGGCCCGGTAAACAGTTTCCGACAGACAGCGCTATTGTGAATGTCAAGCCTGTCATGTTTGCAAAAGCAGCTCAACACTGTGCACAGCATTCCTGTTGTTTTGCTCATTGAGGAACACTCATTACAACCTGAGGTCAACAATGGGGGGAGGTGGGGGTGATATTTTGTGCCTGGGTGCCCAGGAGCAAAAATGGAAATGATCATAGTCCAGTCAGGCAGACAGGTTGTCCATCAAACTTGAACATACATATTCTGTGAGTGTCCTAGCATGCAGAAGACATCAGTTAGTGGACCTAGTAACAAGATTTTCTGTAAATAAGTAAAAGTTTCAGAAAATTTCAGGGGGAAAAATGCCAAAAAATCCAATTTTTAAAAGAATTTTTGACATGAGTAGATAATGTGGGAGACAGTTACAGAAATTGTATGCTGAGCAATTGGGATTGTGTTGTCAGCAGATGTAAATGTCAACCTTACATACTGGAGGCAGCTTGCCACAATCCTTAAATGAAGTCCGTTCAGAGAATCAAAAATGAAATTAGTTTTTTTTTAAACAAGTAAACTGATGACGCATGACGCACGTCACACACAATATTAATGCCTATTGATTGAAAAGGTGTGTTAATGCGTCATTATCCTGTCAATTTCACGGTGAGATAAAGAATAACAATTACTGGAACTAGATCAATGGCCCACAACTTCCCGGTGCTTGCCTGTATTTATGGGAGTCCCATATGTGTATCTTTCAACCTGCTCACTCCAGCTGCAGGGGTGTGGTTGCTTTGGAGTTCAGGATTTGGGGCCCCTGAACTGTGGATTTTTTTATCGCCCAGGTATTGCCACTTTCTGGCACTTGGTGTAAAGTCTATCAAGAGTTCACATGTGAATCAACAGTTTGGAGAGATTTTATGCCTCATTAGCTCACATACTTTTTGTTGGCGTCCTTGTAATGACCATCTGCTGGATGCTTCCAGGATTTCCTCTCTTCCAGAAAAATTAATCCTTGCAGCGGAAAATTGAATCAATCTTTTTTTACCAACTGCAAACCTTCAAATAGCGACTGTTAATTCCCTTCACATTTTGCTGACAGTTGAGTTCATCTACACGTTGTGAAAAGTTTCAGTACCATGGCATGCATATACTTTTGGTAATGGGTAATTAGGGATGTATTTGATCAGTTGTGAAACAGTCCAGCATTTATTTTCAAAATGGACTGTTTGGAGATACATACAGTCGATAAGATAAAATGGAGAAAATTCAGTTCCATGTGTTTGGTGGCAGAGTTTCTTTCTCAAAGCATATTATGAGGTGATGAGTGAGCCCAAAGGCAGTTGAACGCATACAGCCACTATGTGGTAATGCAATGAGATACCATAAAGAACTCAAAACCTAGGGCTGATAACCAGCTGTAGTTGGAGGTGACATGTAAGCCCATTCATTTAATTGTGCTTGTATGGGGGATTCTGAACAGTGGATCCCTGGCTCCCTCCACACCAGATCAAACTCCCTAAACATGTGAACCGTTTTTAAAATCTGACAGTTTTGGGTCTCGAAGACAAGATTGGAAACTTTGAAGTGGGGAAGGACTTTGACGCAATCTTAGTGAACCCGACAGTTGCCAACAGTCCCTTTGATGTCTTCCACTCGACGTACTGCGATACAATTGAGGTTCGTCCAGTTTATCACCTTTTATGTTTATTGGTTTGCAATTTTTCAGATGTAGCTTTTTTTTTTACATGGATCCAGAGAAAAGTGCAACCAGTGCACGCCTTTAGCTTTCATGTTTAAAGTTTTCTCTTTTGTTAGAGATATACTTGTAGCTTTTCCTTCTCCCTTGATCTTCTTTCTTGTCCTTAAGTAGGGAAGTACATGTATCTCAAAAATGTTGGGAACATTCGCGCTCCGTGGGAGTGTTCCCAAAGGATCACTAGTATTCCCCTGGAATGTTGAAACCTTGGGGGAAGCAGCATTGTGATGGGTATGCTGTGGTCCTAAATGAACGATCATCCATTCTGGAATGAGAACAAGGCATTTCAAAAGGAACATTCAGGTCATTCCAAATGATGGGTGGCTCCGTGACCGCTTTAATACTTTTCAAAGCAAATACCTGCTGAAAATATGCCCACATTGAGGTTTCCCTCAATTTGAGGCACCCCCACCTCATTTTTTGTAACTTTGTCCCACCCCCCATTTGAAATTTTGAAACATACATGTACACAGCCTACACATTAGCCGCAATTAAATATGCCCTCAGTGCCCTTTTGGTAAAAATATACCCACCTCCGTAAATTTCACCCTACATGTGTAGTTGCATCTCTGTGGAGGACTTGCAGGGACTTGTGATTGGCTAACTACATGCACAGTGCTGTCCAGTAATATATCCCATTTTCACAGTCTTCAGAATGGTTAGCCATTGAGCCGCTGAAGATCCCCCTCCCCCAAAAAATAAATCCCTTCAGCTCTACCCCTCCCCACAGACCTGTGTAAATCTTGCAGATATTTGGTCTTGTCATATTTCTGCATGCTCATTCTCTATTGCAGGATGTGGTTCAGAAATTCCTGTATCTAGGTAAGTGTGACATGTTGACATGAACATCTGAAGTAATCCACTTGTTTAATGACATCACATTAACCACTTGCTGCCAGGGACCTGTTTTCGAGCATGAAGGCTTTATACATGAAGCCGGGAACCCGAAATTGGACAAAGGGAACTGGGCCTTGTAACAAAAGACCATACTCAGAACAAAGACCAGGCTGCCGGGCATTACCGACATTTTTTCACTTTCAATAGTGGAGATAATCCAGCCTTGTTTTGAAACAGTATACCACGGTTTAGGGCATTTAGAGCAAGCGGATTACCACCGGGGACAAAAGCACTCACCACCGCAGCAATGAGCCACACAGCACCGCTGTTTGCTAATCTGGCCCCTATTGAAAAGCGGTCAGCAGCACACTGAGCAGGGTTCGTGAACAAAAGAAAGTTATATAACACCGCATAATCTGGGCTCTTTTTACAAGGCTGCAGGCCTGGCTGAAATACTCAGGCATCAATAGATTTTGTCTGTCAGACTAGAGTGGCCACCAGACAGTAATTCGTGTGGGTGTAAACATCCATTAATTGAAATGATGAATTTTTGAAGAATTTTGTAAACTGGAAATCTTGGAAAAGTTCCGTATATGTGCACTGCATATTTCAAACCACCCGGCAGTAAGTAGCAATCAAAACAGCATCAGAAGAGGATTATGGAAAGAAATTGTATGTGCTTTAATCTTTTTCACAGATGAACCTTTCTTCCTCGTGCGTTTAAGAAAGTTTCAAATGAAATCAGGCTGTCCGACTTCTTGGATGGTATATTTCAGGCCTGCCCAGTTGGTTTGCAATTTAATTCGCCTTTCTCCTTTTTTCATTACAGAAATTGTAATTGGCATGTCCTTGTTTCAGAAAAAAATTGACTGGGATTGTTGTACCAAAAGCTGGGATTTTTTTTGCATTTCATGAAGTTGGAATTAGAGACTGAAACCGGAGGTTTGGATTTCAGATGCAGAGGTAGAGCTTTTCCTTGGAACTTATGAAAAACTTGAAGGGCCTGATTGTCATGAGCACCTTTTTGAACAAATTCTGTCAAGTTTAAACACTAAATCCCAGAGAAGATGTTTGTATGGGTTGCTAGACAGGAGGGGGAAAAACATGCCCCTCCCTCTGAAGGGTAGAGCTCACTTGTATAGTTCACATATGGTTTTAATATGCCAGGGACAATAGTAATTGAGTACCTTTTTAAAAGCAATGCCGAACTCCACCCTTTTGGCATAGGATTGATATTGATGGATTTTGTTTGCAATTCCTGAAGAAAAATATTCAGTTTTCCTTTTAACTCAAAAAAGGTTTTGTTGGAGTTAAGGCCCTTCTTTCACTTAGGTATTCAGTTGTTTATTACTCAATGAATTTTGGTTCAGTAATTTTTTCTCCTTTTTTTTTGGCTAGGCGATGATCGGAATATTCAAGAGGTTTATGTGGCTGGCAAGAGAGTTATTCCTGCTGAAGACAGGACAGCCTAGAATGAAAGGCAGTTTCTGGAGAGAAGTATTTGGGGTGGAAGAGTCTGACTTGAGTCAGTGACTCGACTTGAGTCAGACTCGAGTCACAAGTTTTGGCAAAGTTCCGTATACATTTTGCAAGATTATGTCATTTATATGCAACTACATATCACCGATGGGGGGTCTGATTGGCTCATCCCTCAAGTTGTACACATTTTGTACAATCTTTGATATTGACACCGGATATTGCAGAAAGGCTATCAAATAAGGGTGCCTGATAAAAAGTTACGGGAGTGGCAGGGGGTGACGACCGTGTACTGTGTGCAGTGAAGGGAAAGCTGACTGGGAAGAGCAATGCAAGTCCAACTTGATCCAAGCCTAGCTTGTTACGAGAACCAGTGATGCCTTGAGGGTTTTCCCACGAGTCTCAGCTTTGTAGGGTATCAGCTAATGTTACTTAGTAAACTACCAATTTTCAATGGAATCTGTGCAAAATGCAAATGGAACGTGGCTTAGCATAGGAGCTTTGACTGAGTATGGGTGCACAGGAGTTAATGTGCTCATTAACTCCTGTGCACACTTACCCAGTGGCTTTGCATGGGAAGATCTGTTGTCTAATGCTAGGTCTAGGTCTTCACTCCATTAGAAATGCGTGGAGATGCGCAGACAATAGACCTAGCCGTAGCTCTGGAAGCCTGTTTCGGACACGGCCATAACATGACATGAGCTTGGCGAATGGTATATGGTACCAGTTTTCCTTAAAATGAACACAAAACCATCACCTTTTTTTGCATGAGGTGCACTTCCGTCATTAACTAGCAGGCTCTGTAGTTTTATTATCATGGCTGGTGGTGTGCAGAGAGTCTCTGTCATGTTTATACTCTCCTGTCATTTTGATTCTGGCTTTTTCTTGTCGACTTCATTTGGCTTGTCAGTATTTATTCTCATGTGACAATAAACGAGGGGCCCTCATAGGCACGATAGAGTTTCCGCATCAGGGTTTTGATGAAATGACCACGCAGGTTTAGGTGGTGGTGCTGGTCCACTGGGTTTAGCCAGTCAGGAGACAGTATGTGAGCAGATGAAGCCTGTGCTTCATGTTCACCGACTTATTCTGGCCAGAATTATGGAATGTCCAAATCCGAAATTGTCTAGATTGTGACAGAGTGAAAAGGTACTATGCTGAATAGCCATTCAGAGTTTTTTGTAAAAATAGGAAGATTTTACTTTTTTTGGTGAATGGCTATTCAGAGTTGTTTTTCAAAATAAGTAAGATTTTACTTTTTTATATATATAAGTTACAAATTTAAAGGAGAAGATACATGTATATATATTTAAAAGTTAACTTACATGTTTTAAGGACGGATGTGAGAAAAACTAGAGCTGTTGTTACAAGGAAGGAAACAGGATTTAAACAGTGTTAGGTTTTACTGTAATAAAATAACGAAGGCTTTCTATTCCAAAGTCAGTTTATATCCATGTACTGCATGTTCCTTTGGCTCAGGGACTTTGAAATCGTCCAACAGATACGACAGTGGCTTCCAAGGAAAAATATAAAAACTGATCTCATGGAACACACAATCATCTATTACATGTATAGGTTATGTACCTGCACATCCAATAGCTTGTCTTCGTGAGGTGCCAATTTCCAAGTCAAGTGTGTTTTGGGTCACAATTAAGCCTTTATTTAATTACTTATCATGATTATAGTAGCATCTCTATGAACATTATGTAACAAAACTTACGTGAAGTACATTTTGTAATACAGATACAATAACATTGGAAGCAGAAGATTAAAAATTAAAATTCCAGTAAACCAAAATCTTTTCCTTACCACTGGATATAGATGTACATGTAATTATGTCAATGCTGCGTGGCCTCAAAGGCTTTTGGCAAGTGACTCATCAATGTTAACACAGGTTTGTTGTGAACTCAGGGGAACGACGTGCCAAAGATTGTAGCTACATGTAATTAAAAATGGAATGATGTATTACATTTCTGAATACTGTAATTAATATTCATTGGTCCTCAATGGTTTCTCTTTATTTTGTAAATATGTAACCTTTGACCCTAAAAGAGCAGGGAGGATTGCCCCTCTTCATAATTTCTCAGATATCGTCAAACAGCTCTTCATTTCATCGCGCCAAGCCTTCAGCGTTTTTCCACTAATGTATTGCACCAATTTTTATCAAAATCGTACATTTCCACTTTTGCCAGAACAGGCGGGCCAAAAATGTCGACAGTGGAAACACGGACTGGGCTCAATAGACACTCGTGGGCGTCTTTAGATGCATCCCATGTGTAAAAATATTGGTCATGGAAATTCAGTGACGTCTGTTCCCCCCCCCCTCATCATTGTAGCGCTGCCTTGCACTTACTATACACTGGCACAGCATCCAGAGCCACACAACATGAACAGGGCAAGTGGTGTGTTGCTGTAACCTCTCATGTACAATTGCAAAGGTTGCAACAAGGGAAGGTTGACGCTACATGAACCCAATTCATTTCAGGAGGAATGAATTGAGACGTTACAACTTCAATCTTTTTGACATGGGTGGGTGTTAAGCTATTTTCCAGGCCACAACGCTGGCAGCTGTTTAGTATAAAATGAGCTTGGGGGGGGTGATAATATTCCTCCATGCCATCTCCCTGACTTGGAAAAAGAAATCAGAATCTTATTGAATTCTCAATGGGAGATTTGGGGATGCTGGTGGCAACTGACATATCGGCCTTTTTCACAGCTCAGAACTGGCAAAAAGGACTTGTACATCTTCTGCCACCATCAGTTTCCCATTCGAGTGAGACCAGTCGTAGTACAGTTGCAGCCTAGTTGCACTGTTTGGCTCCCGCTGGGATTAGTGCGAATAAGGCCCTTCATTTTTAATTTACTCTTGCCAATAAGTGCAAACTGCAATTCGGAGTTGGCCTTCCCCTCCCCTAAAAAATTTGAAATACAGTTGTATGTTACAGATGGATAACTCCTATATGATGTAAGACTACTCTAACCGACAAATGAATAAAAAAATATTAAGGCAAGAAATTTTAACAGAAACAGCTATTTTACAAGTTCTTAACAAAAAAAGTGTACCTATTTCATGAGTATGGGAACAATGCCTTTTGTTAATATAAGGTTCAAGGAAACACAAAAATATTTATTTAAATTCCAAAAGTTCTCAAAAATATAATTTTTAAAAATGGCTTTGGCAAGGAAGAAAAAAGTTTAGTTTATGACACACACATAGCACTAAATACGTATGTTTTCATAAGGGAATAACTTCTTGCCACTAAAAGTTGAACAAGTTTTCTATGTCAGGTTTGGTAATTCATATTTTGTGAAGACCTGTTACAAATGTTGAAAGCTTAAAGTCCACCACATGTTTGATGATGGAAAATATTGCTGGAAAGATAAATATAAATACGTGCAATCTGTTCGTATGGACAGGGAAGGATTTTTGTTTCAGTTAACTTTGCATAGCCAAACTGTTTGTGCAAATTGTACATCACTGCCTGGACATCATTTGAAAGGGCCAATTCTGTGGACCTCTTCAGCAGAAAATACTTCTGTGCCTGAAGTTGGGTCCATACCTGAAATCTGTGCTGTTAAACTGGGCAACCTACATGTACTGGCTGTGTCCGGATGTCTTGGCTGCAGCAGTCTGTAACACACTTGTCTGTGGGAAATGGAGTCAGCCGCTAGCCAACGGCTTCCCTCAATGCCTGTGCCACTCCTTGATGCTGCAGCCAAGACTTTCAGGCACTGGCAAGCCATGAGGATGCTTTTTTTGCGTGGCTTTGGTTCTTGCAAATTCTTGCAAGTTTGTCGCCGAATGTTCACCCTGGCTTTTGATAAGTAACTTTGCGAATACGATAGCATCATTTATAAACTGAGCCAGCTTCAAACATTTCACAAGGCGCATGTAAGCAAGTCTCTCATCTGAATATCCGAGGCATTTAAGTACCACTTTCTGTTCGACTCAAGATGGTGTTTCCTTCCACCCATTTACCCTCAAATACCAAGTACTATGAGTAGACCTCATTTGGAGCAAAACATCCACCCTGAATTTCAATAAGTATCTTTGTAAATATGATAATTATATTCACGTACTGTACACAAGGCACATATAAAATCTCTCAACAGAATCTTGGGACGTTAAGGCCTTTCAGAAGTGTATGGCTATATTTGGGAGTTTTATATTCTTTGGGAGTGAAAGGGAAATCCCCAAAAAGCCATCTTTCTATAACTATTTTGCTTCCCGGCTACTGAGTGGGGGTGGGTGCAAGAAATAAGATTCCTGTCTTGCCAAGTAATGTCCTTAACCACAACAGGTAAGTACATGTAGCCTAAATCCTTCAGAATCCAAAATCTGCCGTTGAGAAGTTTTGAGGGATTCACAGATATGCTCTTTACAGAAATTAAAAGTTTTCACATCACTGTGACTATAGTGTCTGTGAAGAGTACTTTCTGGACGTTTATATTTGTGATGTGCCAAAATCTTGCAGCTCTGGGCTGGGCTCGGCCGTAAGAAGGCAAAATTACCAAAAATGATGTTGTTGTTTTCTACAATTTTTGATTTTACAGATTAGGGACTTGAAATATGTCTAAAATATCCTGAACTTCAATTTCTAAACTTTACCCTTACAGATTACCTGTTGCTTTTTTAAAATAGCTTAAATTATAACCCAACACCGTAACCCCTAAATCTTAGGCAATTCATTTTCCCCTCTGTGACATCTTGCACCTCAAATGAACTTTATTTTGCCAAAGAACGTTCACTTTCCAAAGTTAATCCTTCAACCGTAAGGAGATTTCTTTTGAAAAAAAAAATCAGACTACAAAATGACCTTCACCCCCAAGAAACCCAAAATAGAAAACACAGTTTTGGCCAGCTGCCCAGAAAACTCAGATTTAAAAGAACATCTGACGTTTTTCCCTTGAAATACAGGTAAGTACTGCCGTTTATAACACCTGATCATCTTGACAATCACCAAACTCTACACTTGTCCTCACGATTCATAGGACTTCCTACAGGGCAGTTGAATGCTTCACTGAACTCTGGCATATTCGACATGGCACCCATGACTCTGACGAGGGGGGGAGAGGAAAAAAAAGGAAAATGAATTTATTTCCAATTCTACCGGGTACCTTCTGAAATGGTTGTCAGCTGACGCAATTCAAGAACAAGCCAGTGGTTCATTACAGTAATTCCTAAAAGGCATTTGCAAGGTAAATATATTTGCTTAATAGCAAAATTGCAACAACGGGTTACCAGGCACAATGTCACTGGATTCATGGTGTCGGTGACTGGTACTTGACTGATTTCACTCTGTAATTTCACTCCGGGAGGTCAAGGTAGTTTTGTTCTTTAACAAGTCACTTTAACCCTATTCAGACTGGGCTTTTTAGGAGCTTGTTTTCAGGGCGGGGGGGGCATCAGTTTTCTCCACAACCTCAAAAATGGAATGCCTGACTGACATGAAATTTAATACAGTGGTAGAATAATAGCATGTAAGTTGATATCATGTTCATTAATCCATCATGCGCATATTAATTAGTGAAGTATATTTCAAGTAGCTTAATCGCTTATATTATAGTTACTTATTCCCCACACAAACATTCCTGATACTTCAGGTCCCTGTGGAGAGTACGCAGCTCAACGCAGCTATTTTTAGTTGCAAATGGCGAAACAAACACAGCAACCATCCCTGCCATCAAAGGTACCTATTAATATCTCTGGGTGGAGACAAAAGTGGGAGTAAAATGACTTGCCCGATGTCACAGCTACTGAATTCGAACCTCCGACCCTATGTTTGGGAGTTCAAAACTCTAACCACTATAGGCCAAATGCCTCCACACTTTTCTTGTACATCATCCATACCCCTACCTGAATCTATCGCTGGCGTGCGGATCGGTGTAGACCATGAGCTGGGCGTGCTCCGGTGTGTAGTAGCTGCACCAGACCTGGGCCATGCCCAGGAACAACTCCTGGTTGGCGGTCAGGTTGAGCTGCAGCTTCAGGTCCTCGGGGTTGTCCCGCCGCCAGTTCTGGTAGGCCATGTAGGCAATCTTCAACCCCCCATTGTCGGCTATGTTCTCGCCCAGGGTGAAATGGCCGTCCAGCTGTTTGAGGTTACAGTAACGGTGGAGATGGAAGTCAAGTCAGCGACACAAGTCGATCCAAAGTCAGGTCCACAGGTCAACTTACAAGTCAGTTCACAAATCAGAGGTCAGAATCAAAGAGATGACCAATGACAACGGAATGCCTTTGGGCAAGTTTGATTAGTGACAAACGGTCAATTAAATGGTCAATTTTGACTGGTAACCAATGCATTAAATATATAACGGGCATCAGGGAAAATTGACCAGTGGTTAACAAATTGTCGCTGATCGAACTCGCCCTTTAACGAGTTGAATGAAGACGGCATGGCTCGTGACTGACATGTGGTGACTTGCACCTGACCCGATCACAACTCTAGAGTAAAGGGAGCATTACTCAGCTAAGTAACAGCTGGCAACAATTGAGCATCTACAGAAAACAGACGTAGCCGTCAGTCAATATGGCTTCAATGGGCACATCTGGTATCCGAGCCACAGCCAAGTAACACAGACACAGCCTTTGACAGTGCTTAACAACCACCACAATCAGGGGTGAGACTGGAGGACGATAAAATAACCCCAAAATAATCACCAGATGTCTTGATGGAGCTGTATCATCCCAGGGTCCATGTATACATTTGTGTTTGCCTTACCCAAACCAACCAAGAATTGACCTCTGACCTTTGTAATTTCACCTTTGGGTCACTGCTTGGGAGTTCCCTCTTATTATCTACATGTATCTAATGGGGATGCCAGTCATGTTCTTGTCCAGAGCCTCAAAACAAGGCCGGTAAAGCCTGAACATACCTTGTTAATGCCTGAAATTGGCCCATCATTTCAAATGAAAAAGCCTGAAATGAGGCTTTTGCCTGAAAACTGGCAACCTAACACACAGAGCTGTGTAATTTGATTGGTGGAACTCCCATCATGTGACATTTATTGTTACTGCCCTGACATGCCAGAGTGCTAAATGTAGCCTTTGCCCACAGAGAATGAGATGTACGATTCAATAGTTAGGATCATCACTGTGCAGCTTTTAAACACCCAAACTACATGTATTTACATGTATGATCAGCAGAGCGCCATAGGCCAAAACCTGGGGAGAAGGTTGTGACCCGATTGTGCCATTTGTGCCACTCAAGTTGCACACCAGCACTCACAATCATGGCAGTGACGTCTACAAATGCACAGCCAGGCTTGACTTTCAAACATTCGCATCAATTTTGCATATTGATATTAAGGACTTAATCAATGCAGTAGACTCTAATCTGTCAGTTATATGTATATAAAACAGAATTTGTGTGACTTTAAACTATGATACACCAGGAGGGAATTTTCGCAAGGTAAACTCTCGACTTTTATTCCCCTTGTAAAATTGAAAAGTCCAATTTCACCTCTTATCCCTCTGAGCCACTCTATATTTGGATACTGAACTACAAGTACACATATCTGCAATGTGTACATCTTAACCACTACCAGCCGGGGACTCCGAAATCAGAGCCGTATGGTTTATATGTGTGGCCGGGGTCTCCGAACTCGGACAAAGGAAACAGAGCCCTGTAACAAAAGACCGAACTCCGAACAAAAGACCAGGCTGCTGGGCATTACCGGCATTTTTCACTCTCAAAAGTGGTGATAATCCAGCATTATTTTGAAACCGTATACCAGAGTCGGTATTTAGAGCAAGCGGATTACCACCGGGGACAAAAGCTCTCCAACACCGCAGCGATGAGCCACATAGCAACGCTGCATGCTAATCTGGCCCCAATTGAAAAGAGGTCAGCAGTGCACTGAGCCAGGTTCGTGAACAAAAGACAGTTGTATAACACTGCACAATCTGGGCTCTGTTTACAAGGCTACAGGCCTGGCTGAAATATTCGGTCGTCAATGAAGGTCACCTGTCAACTTACAGTAGTGCCCAAAGATTACATTGTGCGGCTATAAACTGTTAAATGGAATGATGAATTGTTGAAAGATTTTGAAAACAGAAAAAATGATAGTCATGCCGGCCCAGCATCCTCAATGTTGAAAAATGCCCCGGCACGAAGTGGTTAAGCTATGCTCACATTGGAATTTTTTTGGGTAAAACCTACGAAGATGGTTGTCAATTGATAAAATCAAATCAAACGCAGACAGCTAATAAATTATCAAAATTTCCAAGTTTACTAACCAAGGGGTTATTAACCAAAAATGATATATTTTCAAGCGTTGGCCACTCATCCAACACTCAAAAGTGGCTCTGGCAACTTCCGATTCATTTCAACAAAGCAACTCATTTTCACAGAGATGTCTCTCACAGTGCTCATCACACCCACCCAGATACTCACTTCTAACCCTTGGCCCCATGCACTTACATTCACCCCGTGCTCCTCGTAAGCTGAGTACTGCTTCTCCATGCACTCAGATCGCTCCACGTAAGCCGAGGCCGACATGTTCTCCCACCAGTCGTCCAGGTTGCCAAACTTGTCAAACTTCCGACCCTGGTTGTCAAAGCCGTGAGTCAGCTCGTGGCCCATGATCATGCCGATGGCTCCGAAATTCATGGACCTAAATTGGATCGAAATTCACAATGAAAACAATTGTCACTCAAAGATTAAAGTAAAAGCAGAGAGAAATCTTGAGGAAGACCGTGGGTATCAAAGTAAAAATTTTAGCTCATGTATGGTCACAAATTTCGGCGGACGGACTCGAGTACTTCTGTGCTCATGTTGAAATTTGTGACATCATCAATACACAGGCATGCGCTTGTCATTTATATCAGTTCATCCCTTAATTACCGATCTTACTATTTGCTCTTGCAAAATGAAATCTTTGCCTGGGGTTGAACCTAAATTAGCCTAGGCAGATTGAGTTTTGACTGGAACTTGGCAACCTTGTCCCCAGCAGTTACTTTATTTTTGACTTGGCTTCAAACAGTAACCCCTGGAAAGGAAACGGTCATCCTCACTTTATCTTGTGAGCTTGGTGTTTAGAATTTTAATGTTCATTACATGATTTTCTTGCTGTGAATTATTACATAAACTTTCCCTGTTAAACAATCCTGTTACCCATTTCGTTTACTGATTGGATGAGATTTTAACTTCATATCTTTGAAAATTCATGCCCTCCAATAAAACATGCTGTGAAGAACTGACTCTGTGTTAATACCAGACACCACACGCTAAACAAACACTGATTAACAGCACGGTCAGGCACCACACTATTCCTCATGAAGATATGTATCCAAAATTTTGGATGTACCAATGATCCAATATCAGGGTGACAGAAGGTAGCCATGGGGGTGCACTGCTCGACACCATGGGGACAAGGTTGGTAATTTAGCAGATTTAAACCATGAGGAAGAAATACGTTTTTATGCTCGGCCAGTGAGAAACTCTTGAGAAACGACCTCTGTAGAAGCCTTCTAACTCACATTGGCACGTCATTGTTGAAAAACGGCGCCTGCAGAATTCCAGAGGGGAAGACCATTTGATTCAGGGAAGCACTGTAGTAGGCATTGACATCAGCCGGGGCCATGCTCCATCTAGGAATAGATACCCAAGTAAGAATACACATTCAATCTAAGCAAAGTCATCAAAGAAACGCAAACGAATGCCTGACAAATCTTTGACTAATGCAAAATTTGAGAAGATTTTTTTACCTAGTCTTGTCAACAGGGGTGCCGAAATCCTTCAGCGACTTGTAGTGGAAAAACTTCATGATGTTCACCATGTTGTCAAACTTGTTTGCGGTCGAAATGTTCAGCTGTAAAACAAAAGGCAAAATTCACCTCCAACAGAAATCATTATGACTCACTTGTGAAGAAATCATTATGACTCACTTGTTAAGAAATCATTATGACTCACTTGTGAAGAAATCATTATAACTCACTTGTGAAAAAGCCTGAAAAAATAAATTACATTACCTGTGTAGAAAAAACATTTCTCCGTAAAGGAAAAAGCCTATTTGAAATCACGATAATAATCGAAACCATAATTTTCTTTTCATATCGAGTATCGAATCAGGCCTTTTTTTCTTATATATCGAAATATTGAGAAATCTGATATTTCTCTTTACTTCCACTTCTAAGTTATTAAAGCGTGAACCGCAATGCATCTAGCGGATTTCCTAGTGCTTTACATTGTGCACGATTATTTAGGCCATGTGACTCTGGGGACTTCCAACTCGATTGTGAGGATGGGTCACGTATATCCAGCTCAATATACCGGTATCAAATCCAGGACCTGTTTAGAGAAGACCTTCATGCCAATATCAGTAAAGCCTCATCTCGAGACCTACCCAGCCCCCACCCCCAATCAATGGTGGTGGAATGATGTTCAAAGTGGGAGAGAAGGCCAGTCGAAGTCCCACCCCATTATGGGACCTACAAAAAGTGCGGAAGGGGGGGGGCATGGCCTCTGCCACCAGTGTCTCCAAACCTCTGAAGCACAACCCCTTCCAGTTCTAACACCACTGACGACGCAGCTTACCCCACGGTAGTACTCGTCCAGCTGTACCGGGTCCAAGATCCAATCGGGGAAGCCTATCTTGTCTTTCACAGCCCGGGCCTTGTCCTCGGCACGGGCCCTGGTCTTGTCGTCCATCCACTCCACCAGCGGCAGGTTCTGCAAGAAGGCTTCACGGATATCCTCGATCAACTCGAGGGCCTGGCATGGAGAGAGAAGACATTCATAAGTGAGGCCTGAAAATGAAAAAGAAACAACCTCAAAGGTGCAAAAGAAATCAAGTTCACACTGAAAGATGTTAGGTGGATATATCCTTACATCTGTGGGGATAAGATACTCAGTTTATGAGGTTTTTTTCTTAAAAAGTGCAGACTGCCCTTATCTTCATGTCAATTACTTTACTGTTAATTTCCAGAGGCCTCCACTTCACAGCTCTGAGATAGGGCTGAGTCAATTCGAATAATGCACCATTCGAATATTTGACCTTCAATTCGATCGTATATCTGAATATTCAGTCGTACCGACTGGCAGATCGTTGATGAACAAACCATATACAAAAAACGGTTGCAATAACACACACAACTGTACATTATAATCACTATAACAGTTTCTCACTTTTGGGAGTATCTCCAACCACGATTTAGCAATATTTAACAGATGAACACTTCTTGCCCTGTTAACAATTTATTCCTTTACAATTTTTAATGAATAATTTACTTTTTGAAACGTAACATACATTATTCTGTCCCTTTACATTTGAATCTGCTTGAAATAAGCCACCATAGTGCAATTTTTTTCAAATTTAAAATAAAAGAAAATTCCCCGTTCTTTTTGATGAATTTTGCATTTGAATATTCAAATTCGGAACATAATATCCAAATATTTGATCACTGATCGAATATTCAAACATTTGGATATTTGGCACTACCCTACTAAGGCATTTCACCTTTTTCAACTTGTAAACTTCATATGCACTGTAGCTTACTGCAGTAGTTTCCACCATGCCCAACATTCGGGTCATAGACTAACTGGCTCTAGCTTTCATGAAGTGAACAAAGAAAACCCAGACGAAGGTGATCACATGACTTTCAACTTTCTGTGCTCAACATTGCTTTGCTCATTAAAATGGAAATTCACATTAGCACAAAAACAAAACAGAACTGTGACAGGCAGACACATGCTTATAGATCCATCACGCTATGACCGAGTTTAATAGGAAAGCGTATCAAGTACACTACCTTCTTCTTTGTAACCTCGGAATCTCTCTCCTCCACGAAGAGCGCCCCCGTCACAAACCCAAAGGCAGCGTCGACTTTGGACATGCAGCGCTCCCACATCGGGGGCTGGGTGTCGATCCCCCGCACCACCTTGCTGAACTCTGTGACTGCTGTCTGGAAGGGCTGGGACAGGTAGTTGAGAAACGGCTGGACCGTGTACCAAATGGTGTAGTCTGCCAGAACCCTGGCGAGGAAGATGTTTAACGGAAGGAGCTACCATTACCCATAGCTCAGTCTATTCATCAAACATGACTGTGATTTCATCGTTTCTGACAATGACCAGCCTAGAAAAATTGGCTACGTCAGCAGGTGCTATTTAGTTTGAATAAAATCTTTTGTGTTTACCCCAAATTTACCCACTTCAACTATTGCCCTCCTATAGACCAATTGCGCAAACTAAGTCATGTGACCTACATATGTAAAGTAGGTAGAAAACATCAACAAACACAGCATCCTCCCATAGCAAAGAGTGTTTTATGTGTTGTTTACCAAAAGTAAAGTCGATTTACAGTACAGTATTAAGCACATCAAGAGTGAGCACATGACCGACTGTCGACTTTAATTTGGATTAATGATACTTATGACACCCTTTACTGTGGGAGGAGTCTATGTTTGTTGATGTATGATACCCACTATAGGTCACGTGACTTTGGTCTGTTGCGTCCACCACGCTTCAAAAAAGGCTAAGTGATGTGAATCAAAGGGTAAGAATAATTTCATGAAGTGAAAGGTAGAAAGGTCCAGTTTTGCCTTGTGGAACAGAGTGTTTTAGTTATCGCTGAATGGAAAAATCAGCTGATACTGAAATCGTTCAGAATCAATCTGTGCCTAGATATAGAAATCACCTCAACTTCAGAAACTGCAGAAAATTGGTACATTCTTAAAAATTGCGGTTAACATTCTCAGCCAAGTGTAAGTGTCAATTAACTGTTGATCACAAACTGTGGGTGCCCAAATTTATCTACCATGCGTTTGTTCTCTTCCTACCTGGCCGGTGTGTCCTTCAGCAGCTGGTTCAGCTTGTGGAAGTAGCTGGGCGTGTAGACCACCACCTCCAGGGAGCGATTGACGTCCCCGCCTAGGGTGTCGGCCACGTAGGCCTGTAGGTCCAGCTGGGGGACCATGTCGATCAGTTCCTGCAGGGGCATCCGGTTGTAGATGGCCACGGGGTCTCGCAGCTTGTTCTTGGGGACAAACAGCTGTTGGACAAATCACACCGTTGAACGGTGTTTCAGCGCAGTGTCTCCTTGTCTTGGGCAAAGCGGACCACCATGCAGATTTTAATCATGCAGGTGGCATGTCATTCAGGATGACTTCATTTCCTGAATTGTACGCTATCTCATATGCAAATTTATCATAAGTGGCTAACACTAACTTCCTTGGCACCTCCCTTAGGGATCTTCATCCAAACTCAAACCCTTTGCTGCACAGATAACATTCCTCGTCTACCTCTGCTTTCAAGGGAAGCCAAGCTCCTTGATAACACCTTCATACAAACCTTCCTGAACCTCCTCATGGGGTTAGTGGGTTCTGGAGCTGATCCTGTGGTCCAGTGAAGTTTGAAGTCAAGGGTAAAACCAAAGGGGATTTCAATGGTTGTGTCCTTAAGCAAGACAAATAACAGTGATAACAAAGACTTCCACTACACAGCCACCACTGTTGGAAACATTTAGCAAATAAGTGGGTTGTAGAAACTGACATCAAAACTGACAATGAGGTGACTAAGTACCTTGCTAAGGGTTTTCTCAAATTCAACAATCTCCTCTATTCTTCGTCTGGCCTCTTGTTTCATTTGAGCGTGCTCCCAGACCTCTGGCGAGCCATTCAGCCTGAGCAGGGTCACCACGGTGGCTCCCAGTTCAATGTAGGCATCGACTATTTTCTGAAAACCGTAGAAATTTATCAAAACCGTGACAACTGGCCTCCAATGTATAACAGACCTTTTTCACTGTGAGGCAATGTCTTGCATGCATGAGATTCACATGTGCATACATTGTAATGTCCAAAATTTCAAGGCTTTTTTTGTTTCTTCAAATGGAAAACTGGAATTATTTGACCTACATGTAAATTACCGCCAGTGTTTGTCACTGGGCATTTTGTATTTCCATCTCCCTGTGGTGTATACACGTCATCGTACAACTCACGCCTTGAAAACAAATTATCATTAGTATGCGAGTACACGATTTTAGCCATAAGAAATGGAACTATCTGAGACAGCATCCTCCCAAACCTTACAACTGTTCTTGCCATTTTGCCCCCCCCCAAAATTCAAATTTGAAATATACTCTAGGCCATATCATAAAGACAACTATATTTTTTTGTTTATCCTGTGGGATCTACAGGATGAAAGAATTAAACACATCATAGCGTAAAAGTGATAATTCATAACTTCAAAAAAATGGCACCAAGACTACTTACTGTATCATTGCTTTCGTAAATTTGCGGTGCAGAGAGTCCGAGGCCAGACTGGTAAAACTGAATAACAAACAGGGAAACAAAATCGATTAAGGGACACACGCCAAGTCTGATGTGCAACTGGGCGCAGACAGTTTGTGAGCACAGAAAAATATAGCCTTTGTTGTTTTCCCGCATTTGTGTATAAAATGCATGCTTACTGCATGGTTCTCAGTTCTCAACTTTCTGTCCCTCAACCTGCCATTTTGTCTGCTAAACAAGTTTTTGGAAATGGACCAAGAATAAAAAGGTCAAAGGTCGTAATAGGTCACTGTGGATGAACTAATTGTGAACACATAGATACAAAAGACGGCCATAATTAAATGTACTTCTAAATTCTCAACTCAAGCAATTTATTTGTAGAATTTTGATGACGGACAAAAGAGTTTCAAAGATTGGATTTAAGGAATGCTGTGCTATGCTAATGCACTTGAGAATAATTGTTTCAGTCATGCAAGAATAATTATCAGTCTGGTGAACCAGCCATTTCAACACAAGCCCAAATCTAAGTTTGGTACCTCGGCTTACCTGCAGTATATTTTCACTGGAGTTTTTGTCATCTGCTCCGACAACCATGGTGAAGAGCACAAATAGTCTCATCTCATGTAGCTGGATTAGTCTCTGCTCCAGGCTCCAAGATCCCTCATCCCATTGTTCAGCTGCTGTACCATTATCTAATAACGTCCACCCGCCCAGTGATTCTATCAGCTGAAACATGTCACACCAAAAAACAAACCCCTTAGAAGTAACCAAAACAATTACCATGCACATCCAAGCCTGTTTTTCTAACCTGGATTCCAGGATGTATCTTGGGCCAAAATATCACAACTCTGCATGTGTCCAATGTGTATTTCACCCTCAAGTTTCAAAGTATTAGAGAAATTGGAAGTCACATGCATATATATGGAGTATGAACATCAGGAAAAACTGGGTGTTTTGGGGCGGCCAATCTTCATGGTTATTTCCCATCCAAAACAATGTGCATTTCACGTCAATATGTCAAAAATACATGTATTTCTTAAAAAATTAATCGCATAAATTAGTATACATATACCAGGCTTGAGTGTCCGTTTTTTTCAAAGTAACAGATGTATGCGATAACCTTGTCATTTCCAACTTGACATTTTACAATTTGTGTGTAAACCTGAAAGCCCATGGTACTACAAGCCAAGCCAGTCCAAATTTTAAAACCAGTAATTGCTTTTACTCAAAAACAGTGTGCAGCAGTATTCTATCGCTCATCCCTGGAGTGCTGGAGCACTTTTGTCCCGGGTAGTAATCCGTTCATGCTGAATGCCACAAACAGTGGTAGAATTATTCGAAACAATGATGGATTTCCTCCGCTATTGACAACTGAAAAAATGTTGGCAATTCCCAGCAGCTCAGTCTTTTGTTCCGAGTACGGTCTTTTGTTACAAGGCTCATCTCTTTTGTCCGATTTTGGGCAGCCCGGCTTTGCGTATAAACCCAAGGAGTCCGGTTCCGGAAACCCCGGCACCAGGTGGTTAATGGAAGTTTCACTCATCCTCACATTTACACTGACAAAATTTGTTCCCTTTACAATATTTCTTTTAAAGATGTTACAGAATCCCCTCCTTATTTAAACCTGATGGTTTATGCACCAGACCATCTCTCAATCCCCACTCTCTTTCTCCCCTCATCTCATTAGCATCTGGTCCTCTTATCAATGAACAGATGAAGCAGTGAAGCACTAACAGAAATGTTGAACAAACTGACAAAAGATTCCCTTTGGAAATAATGGATTTATCAGTAGCTTCCTTGTAAGATACCCATCTCTAAAAAGTCTGATAATCCAAGGGAATGCTCCTACAATCTCAAGCCAGAACAAGATCCTGAGGACAGATAAAAGTTGGGTTTGGGAAGGGGCATTGGTTCTGTATCTCACTGGTTCATTTGCCAAAGCTGCCACTGCCACTCCCTACCACAAAAAGAAAGCCCACCCTTTTTTGTGAGTTGAATTCTCCAGAGAAATTAGCACAACTCTACAAAACTGGTCAATATGATCAACCTTTATAGGCGTTCAAAAAAAAAATGTACTCCAGAAAATTTTGCTCCCAGTTACATTCCCCCCCCAAACATTCAATTGGATCCGTGCACTCCCTGGACATCAGTGAAATGTTCTGCACACCTGCTGAAATTAAATCCAAAACTTCAACACACGACACAAGACCCCAGACTGTTTCACAAACTAAATACATATATAGACAGTGCCCATCCAATGTGCCTGATGAAATTTTCAGTGAAGTTGCTAGTCACCCATCTACTCTTTCCCGCCGTGTTCCCACTATTTTCCAAAGCCACCTTTTCGGGGGAGGAAAAATGAAGCCCTGAGCCTACTTCGAACAGGAACATACCTACAAATACCAGCATTTTCTTCAATTAGGCTATCCCCATGCTGTTAGGGCATTGAGCAATATGAAATAGGAAACAACTCAGTGAGTGATTTCTGTGCCAACTGCAAATCAAATTGACCATGGCAATAACGAGATAATTGGCTTGTTGCTGGAGCAAGCTGTGCAATGTCCTGTAGAGTTGCTAAATCTGACCACAATTATCCCGCACAAAAGAAAGTGCAAAGCACTCTTCAAAACTGGAAAACCAGGCCGCGAGTCAGTCTCTAGTGTCCTGCACTGCACATACATGTAGCCAACTTTTCCGGATACAGATTTGATTTTTTTTTACCCCCCCTTGTTAGTTGTCTTTGGGTAATTCCGTGAAGTTGGGACACAATTTGTGACGGTGTCTTTTACCACATGTCATGACCTGTAGAGGTGGTAATTTACTCTGTAAATATAACACACGCCTCCATATTAAGATGTATAAAATGTCAATTTGGAATCGGCCCTACAGGCAGGAAAATAGCTGTTCATTTTCATGGAACCCACATAACAACAGACACTGTCACAAACTGTGCCCCAACCTCATGGAATGACCCATTTCTGTAAAGCAAATCCAAAGCTGAGTTTTGTGGAATCTTACCTGTAATAATGGTTCTGCCCGGGCACTTTCTGATATACTGTTGTTCATACAGGCCTCGTAATAGGTCTTGGTTTTATACAATGCTTCACTGTGCACTCCTCTGTAGTTAAAACCGTCTTTTTCTAAAAGCTGAGAGAAAAACGGATGCATGTAGGAGGCTAAGTTAGGCAGGAAAGGTTATGGGTGGGACAGATGATTCACAGGTGGGCTAAGTCACCAGGTGATGGAGGGCTGTCAGGTCCTGCAAGTTAACCACTTGGTTTAAAAATGAATCTCTGGGAAAGCTGCAAACAGAAATCTGAGGAATGTGGCATCACAAGGTAAAGTCTGTTTAAAAACTTATTTTGTTGATTGAATGCTCATTTCGGTCTACTTGGGCACAAATATGATTGGTTCCCATGACTTTGATGACGACATAATACACTTGTACAAGTTTATACACACCCACACGTGCCAACGAAGCATCAAGAGTCAGATATCACCGGCAGTAAATTGGGCAAATTGATTGCAGATCACAATATCCAACTAGACAGATGCCCCAGCATGCACCAACCTTGGGCTACCCATGCCCTGACAAGATTTCAGCATGATTTCCTACCCAGGAGACCCCAATGGGTTGCACTGGGTGCCGGTGGGTGGCATCCAGCAGGTTTATCTGATTTCAAGCACCTAAGATAGGGGGGTAGACTTTAGGTTACAAAAGCACGAAGGAGGACGGTGGTGAAATCAGCAAAGTTGATCACTGAAATACCAGTAATTGTAGAATAAAATTGATTCGACTGACAAAAGAAATCATCATGTATAACAAATCTGTGTGAATGATCCAATGACCCATTCCCCAGTCAAAAATGAAAGAATATATCCCCACCCATACCCCAAATCCCAAATGCCCGTCTCCACAAGAAACAGGAAGACCCCTTCAAACCCTACAATGTACAAAAGTGTGAACCAGTCCGGGTCCATTCTTCCTGCCAAAAAGAATCACTATATATGGACCTCCTATGCTTCAATCAGTACCTGGTTGTGGGTGACACAATGTAATGTACCCTCACCAACTACAACGTAAGCATAACACAAAAGAATGGCATCATTTCACTTCTTCATATGCTTCACTTTTGATTTGAAATGATTGAGCTCCAAGAATGTGACATTAATACTGACGGCTTTTCTATTCAACAGTTGATTTAAAAATTCTTCTGCACTGTTTAATTACAAGTTCCTTTTGAGCAGCTTAATTAGCAATTATCACGTGAAGCTTGAAATGGACTATTCTCAAGAACTACTAGTGTGCTCAAGAAATGAGCGATAAACTTGTATATGTACTGGTATGTGGTTTGGATTTCACTGTAATCAGTAATTAATTTGGGATTCGTTTTCAAAATTACATTTTTGGCCTTATCTGGCATGTTTAACATAGACTAATTGTCCGCATTTATTGTGTACATTTGAGGGGAACACTGTTTATGCTGAATTTCTTCATTTGCCGGCTAGTTGGGGTTTTTGCTGGCTAGTTGGGATTTTGGGGGGGGGCAAGGCAGAAGTACAGATCTTGTGGGGAAAGGGGATTAACCCTAACCCTCCTCAATCCTTCACCTGTTGGAGGACTGCGGAGTGTAAGGGTTAATGGGAGTACCAGATCCCTCAGCATAACACAGAAAAAAACCTTAGCCTTCCATTTACCCTTAAAACGAAACCTTGTCATCCAACTAAACATAATGAGTCCTAACAGGCAAGAACCAGTTTGGAATTAGAAACGGCCTTCAAAACAATCACCAGAAAGTTCATCCACAGGAACCCTCAACTTGTTTACGGGCAGGATGGCCTTTTCCATCAGCATGGCAAACTGAGTGATACATCGTAAGAAAGAGCACAATTCGATCCCATGCAAATTATGGGCCTGCTTGTTTCACGAGGATCCGGACTGCAATGTGATCCGATAATGATCCAGCAATGATCAGAAACTGGTTCACTGACACCAGAACCTGACTAATGGATAGTGCAAACCAGCAGTGGGGACCACTGATAGTAATCCAGATCTGTAAGCAACAAACAGCCCCTACAACAAAACCACTGCTGGGCATTCAGGGTCATTTTGCAGTATCCAGCCACATTTAGGCAATGTGCCTACCTTCCTGATGAGCTTTTTGTTGTGCAGCACAGCATTCCCGAAGAAGCTCCACTTGGATTTGTCCTCGGGGATGTCTGTCACCTCCGCGTACTTGCCGCAAGCGTACTGGTAGAAATCCTGGCAGGGGTCTGCGTCTAGATCCATAATCTTGAGGATGTTGGCCGTGGCCTGGATGCAGCGTGGCTCTAGGCATGCTGTCTGTGAACCAAAAAATAGAACACACCAGTAATGCAAACCATGGCCGGAACAACTTGTACAAGGAAAATCCAATTTGAAGACAAACATTTACATCTGACTATGTTTGTTCAGAGGAATGTACCATTTGAATTAAAGGTTTTCCCCAGGGTTTAGCCGACATGTACATATGTACATTTATAAACAATGTATACTCACATTTACAACCACTTGTACACTGTGTGTACATGTACATTTAGCTCGGTGATCAAGTGGTTAGAAATCTGCACTAGTAAGCAGCAGGGCGAAGGTTCAAGTCCCACCTGAGTAAGCTTGTGAATTTTTTCACAAGCTCTCAGATAAGTACTGAGTATACAATGTTTACAAATATTTATGTCGGGTAAGGGCAAAATCTGATATTAAAATTAACATCTACTTGACGCAATCTATGCAAAGTACATCTTGGAAAAAAGAATTTACAAAACATGATTTTAATTTAAATACTGGATGATGATTATTACATGTATGTGGAAGACAGAATCAAAACACATGTACACTACACTTGCAACCCATCCTGGGAAAATAAGTTAATTTAAGCAATCCTTGCTCTATGCTCCGAGTCACTCGCAGCATTTCCATTTCAAACTTTATACATGTTGCTGCTCAGTGCAGGAAGGGTTGAAAGAACTTAAAAGTAAACACAGAGGGCCAAACCAACATGAAATTCGGGATATTTCTCAAACTTTACTCCCATCTTCCAATTAGAGACTTTGACTTTTATCTTCCTGAATTCTACAGTACTAGCTCCCTGGCTCTAGAGATTCTGGCTTTAAAGTCAGTTGATCATGGTTTTGGTTGTGGACCAAGGGTGAAATTTTCCCAGCAACGGAGGCTCCTTTGGTAGGAACTGCACTTTGCTGGTTCACAAACGACAAAGAATTACACGTGTTACAGTTGCATTGCTACCAACAAAATGAACGCTCCCCACCAACAAACTTAGTGCTTAACCCTAACGAGCTGAACCCAACAAGGTTATGCAGGATTTCAATGGCCCCTAGGGGGTTAGGGTTAATTTATCTTTACTTTACCTTTCTATGGAAACAATCAGAAACAGTGAAGACACATGTAAGCAAAAATAATGGCAACATTTTTCAGTTGGAAATTTGTATTGACAGTCATGCAAATGTGTCTTTTAGTGTGGACAGGCCCAGGTGTATTTCCAGTTTGTACATATGGAAAACGATATCTGCACATTTACAATGTGCAACATTATAAAATTGACGAAGTGGTTTAGGAACTAAAAATATAGCCTTCATTGGCTACAAAGCCAAGAGTGTTACTTCAACATCACATACGTACAAAGTACATTTCCAAATATTTCAGATACCGCAGTTTGGTACACATGTACATCAGGTAGAACAAAATCTTCAAAAACATTTTGCACAAAATGAACTTTTGAGTGGTTGTATCTACCACTGTTCTTCACGTTTTAAGTCCACCCACAAAGAGAATGCATTGACTAGTGTACTTTCCATCTTTTGTCTAAATGTACTTCATTCAATTGAATTTCATATGTAAAAAAACTTCACCATTCAAAACTTGCTGAAAATATCTGCAGGTCCAAATCCTTCGTCAAAGTCCAACTGTTTAAACGAATGCCAGTAATGTTCTGTGCCATGGATTTCAAGGGACAGACCGGACGGAATCCTCACCGAATGGGGTCTGTTGCAGACAAAGCCCACAGTGGCTACCACCAGAACCAGCAGCAGCAGACAGCAAATGGTAAGCACCCCCATGCAGCGATCGCCTCGTTTCCGGGAGAGCTTCTGCCAACGGACGGCGGGACCTGTGAAACAGCGGTGTAAGAAATCAGTTAGACATTATAATTAAGCATGTGCAATGCGCACATGGCATGACAATTAACTATCAGCGACATCCTTTTTTTTTGAATGATGGAAATTAAATCGGATACATGCAGCCTACCGGTACCTTTCTGAATTACATGTTTTAATTTGCCAAGCAGATTTGTCTGTGTCACGTACTGGCCTGATAATAAACTTCAAACTACTTCCTTCAGCATATACACATGTAAATGTACACATACATGTACGCAAGGAACTTTCATGAATCCCCAAATAAATAAATCCTCTGTGCCAAAGAAATTCAATGGCACACTTCAATAATTGAACTTTTACATGTAACTTTCACGAGGCATCCAAGCTCCGCACAAAATAAGCGATACTTGCTGATTTTGCACAATTCAGCAAAACCTTCCATGAATCTCCAACTGGACTTTCAAGGATGTCAGAGTTAACTTGCTGCCCTAAAGTTCTTGACTTGATCTTTCATATGGTAAATAATGACAAGACTACAATACAAAGAAAAAGAAATTACAAGGCTAAGTTACGAGACGCCTTTCAAATGTACTGTACATGAAAAGCAAAACATTCCATTTTAGTCTCAAGTCTGTTACTAAGAACCACATCACACTGGTAACCATTCAAATCACCTTCAATGCATCGGTTGCCCGAATCAAGGACCATCTGTGTATACCGTCCATGCCCAAATGTACATAAGCACTTAATCACAAATGAAACTTCATGAAAAAAAAATTGTGCATGCGGCACCCAAAATATCACACAGCTCAGTGCACCAAATCCAAACTCCTCTCGGTTCCTGTAAATATCAGGCATCCAACATCAACAAAAGTTGACTAATTGCAACACGTTTACCTTTCAAATAAACAAGTTGAAGGGGAAAAAACAAATCCTGGCTGCCAGACCCTCCACAGTTTCTTTTGTCCCACACTGCTGGATCTGTGCCAGTGTTTTATGGGGGACCTTGATTTCGGGCGCCTGATGATTTCACCCTAGAGCTGGGAATTTCATGACCAGGATATCCTCCCAGGAAAAAACAACAAGCAGCCTCTTGGGAACAATTTTTTTCATCTGAATATTTCCCCACTGACTCCTGAGTACACCCTGGCTTTCGGCTGTGGGGTTTATGCCCTGTTTCCAGACAAAGAGCTGCTCCGAAGCATTACGCCAAATACGCAAGAATATATATGCACAGTTACACCATAGAGCACACGTAGCTCATGGGGGAATAAAACAAAATCAAATGGTTTGTTCGCGTGCACCTACACTAGAGTCACTGATGGAACCAGTATGTGGTGAGATTCTAAATTGAGTCAATGTACATGTATCACACTCACGTATCAGGAATTCTTTTCACTCAAGAGAAAACAAAACTACATGTATTGCTATCAACATGTATCTCCACATGTATTGCCAACTTGATGCTATTGAAACAGGATAACAATCAGTTCTTTTAGCAATCACTACCATCTCTTTGCAAAAACTTTGTCCATCTCAATCTGAAATGACCATACAAATTGTTTGCCATCCACTAACACTGGTTGAAGACTTCCACTGTTCAGAAATGTGACTAAAAATCGGTTGCGAAATTATTCTGCGGAGCTGTGGAACAATAAATGCTGGTATTTTACAAACACTACAAACAGAAATGTATATCCTGTTCAATACTATAGTCTATCCTCTGTCTCTGCCCTGCACAAGTGTCTAATTCTATGAATAACTACAGTACTGTACAGACTACATCATGAAAACTCAGAGAAGATTCCAGAAACTAACACTTCATAGTTGATAGTTCTTGAACATGTTGAAAAATACATTTTTATATTTCAAACATGATTTTGGGTACGTCCCAAGTCTTCTCTGTGCCTGGGCTGCACTCTGATTTCAAAAGCAGGTACAAGCTCCAGTAGCACTCGTAAAGAAAATCACATTTCATACATGATGGAGCGTTAACCGTTGACAAGCATGACCAACCACCAACCGACAGGAATATGTTGAAACTTGAAAGGGGTGTATTTGGTATGGCCAATTTGAAGCCAATTTTGCCATTTAAGAGTGACCGGGGCAGAAAAATATCATGCCCAACCAAATCTGCATCATGTTGATGGTGATCGTTATTATGGTTATGAGCAATAGTCAACAATTAAACTGCATCCTGTTGCTAGTGCTATGGCCATACTCGTGGTTCAAATGCAACAATTTAACAAAGAAAAAGCCCCTAGAAAGAATAATAAACACATGTACATCATTTCTTGCCAAAAGTTACCACAAAGTGTAAATCTACCTCCATCAAAATTGTTTTTAATAGCTCCATGATCAAGCAAAGTATTTGGTACATGTACCTTCACAAGCAGGCTGGTTTGCACCAAGAGTACCGGTATGAATCCCAAGGCCAAAACAAGGCTGGCAGTTTCCACCTCAAAAGTCAAGCAGAGTACTAGTACTACTGCACTAATGCACAGAGTTTCAAACAATCATGGAGGAGTTTTGGGAGAGAAATGAGAGCCCCTTTCACCTTGGCAGCTGGCCCCCTGTGTAGCGGCCTTGGAATTTGAGCACCTAGCAGTCACAGGCATAAGCAACTACTAGAAAGGACAGTGATTGGCCCCTTAAAGGAAATACAGGTGTGTTGTTTCAGTGGGGAACACAAACTACATGTGTAATAAGAAAAAAGAAAGCCCACACACTTCACTCAAGGTGGCTGTGGAGTGTAATCACCTGCTAATGGGGGGGGGAATCCTCCAGGGATCTGGTGGCTTACTCTGGAATGTTTTATGGCCATGGGGTGACCAGCCTTGTTTTTGTGTGGCTTTTACCCCAGGGAAAAAAGGAAAAATACAAAAAGGAGAAAAAGTGAACAAAAAAGGAAAAACTATTTTGCTTAAAATAAGTTTAAACTTACCCCTTCCATTATTAATTTAATACTTAAGTCAGTTTGTTGCAAATGAACAGATGAGTGCTTGCCTACGGAAAAATTCCCAGCTACGCATATAAATGTATTTGTGGAGGTTTGAATAATAAAATTTATTAAATGCACTGTACTATGCCCCTGCAAGCAGCATCTGGCAAATAAACATGCTCTAGTTGTACAGATCTCCTGTTAACCTAAAGACCATCTTTCACAATCCTTTCTCGACCCTGTCCCTTTCCACTCTACTCCTCTGATTCTACATAGTTTCTATGTGTGACCAAGGAGCAAAGGTTTCTTTTGGGGGGGTGGGGGCTGGAGAAATTGGGACTTCAGAAAAGATAGGCCCAAACACCAGTACAGCCTGGTATTTATTTAATTGTACATGTAGGTGAAAGGTCTTCAAAGGTGGGAGCATGCTTTGGGAGGTGAGAGCTTACAAAAGTCTGTCAATAAGTCACCCCAATGACCTTGAAGCAATTCAGCTGCTGAGAGACAGGTCATTTTATCATTCAATTTTCACCCGTAATTTCCAGACTGTCAAACATTTCGCCTCTGTGATACCACCCTATACAGCAGGCTGGTGTTTATCTCTGGCTCTCCTGGCAGGAGATTATAAGTGAAGAAAACCACAATGTTGACTCAAGAAAATGCATGTGATCCAAATTCACCACCTAATAGTCCCAACCAGGAAAGATTTAAACCAGTGGTCACATGCCCACATGAGGCACTTCAAGGATTTTTTGGGGGGGGGAAGCTGAGGTTCCAGAATTTTTTTTTGGGGGGGAGGGGAAGGGGAAAAGACAGGCAGCATATAAAGATGTGGAAGGCTACATTTAGATGTGGTGCCAGATGAAATGATCCATTGCTGTTGCTTTCATCTGTCACCTCACAAAATTATTCTGATAATTGTAGTTAAAAGTTCATAACATGTGTACATGGCATACATAGCAAGAGTCACCAAATGGGAAATTAACTCATTGTAATATTATTCACTCATTGAATACATGAACACAAAAAACTAATTCAATCTATTTATTTTTTAAATAAAAAGTTTGTGAATAACAGAAAATGAAGCGAAATTCGAACTTCCACTTTGCATTACAACCAAGAGAGCCATCCATACATACATAAATAATACACCAACATGACGACTTTCTTCATGACTTTTGCCAGAGAGCATTTATGATGTACCTGTACAGATGCAATTGGTTTGTCATTCAATGAGGTTGTGCAATCAAGTTTACAGTATTGTAGTCCTGTACTTTTCAAGTACGGAAGCTCTCTCCAAATATTCAATTAGTTGGGAAGGAATAAAGCTGGAGTACATGAGCATTTGATGGTACATGCACAGAGGTAAGAGTACAAAATCCATCACTGTTTGAAAAAAAATTAAGTTTTTAGGACAAAACAACTCGTAAAGTATTTGGCAGAGTCCTTTCTGAGTAATTTTCCCCTTAAAACTTAAATTTTACAAAACTGGTTGTGTCTGAAGTCTTATATTATCTAGTTGGTAATCTTACCATTGTGCATGTCCTATCCAATGCCAGTTTAATTTCCTCTTATCAATCTCAATATTTGGCCGAGAGCCTTTGTACTCAATCTGCAAAATTGTAGGCCTAAGTAGCCTTTTAGAAGCAGTGCCCTTCATTGATTTTGTCTGTTGTTGTCATAATATTCATGAAATTCTTGCACCACGGGGTTTTACAGGAATGTGAAACCATTAAAATTGAAGCATATGCTCAACTGAAAATCGTACAAGTGGCCACTAGCATACAAACCTTTTAAAAGTCAAATTCAACATCTGTTAAAAACAGGGTCAGTGCCCACAGTCACAATATGCCTTTAGGTAACATTCATGCACAAAAACCATGACAAAACAAAACCACAGGGGTGGGGTATCAAGACTTACGCATCCATTGACTGTAATCATTGTCACTATCCTGATTCAACAATAATGCAGACTCCACATGACTGGGATCGCCTCTGGTGAACCCGCTCCAAGATGAGCTGTCTATCAGGGGTCCTCGGTTGTCTCCTCTGTCTCCATGGCAACCGAGGATGCCTTCCCTGGCTCCTGGAAGAAAGATGCTCTTATCCTAGGGCATCAGAACTGCTGGAATTTAGAAGAAAGGATTCCACATTTGACAATCATTATTTCTCTCAAATTTACAAAAGCACTGGCAATTTTCAGCTGAATGGAGACCACTGACTATGAGGCAGGACTTGTACATGTAAATATGAATCATACAAGCTCAGGGTATGGTACTGCCTCTCGGAGTATGACCTCTGGAGGGAAAGGTTGAAGAGGCGGGGTAGGGGCTACAAGTTTAAATTCTTTCCAATTGTGTAAAATGAAAAACAAAACCAACCCCCCCCCCAAAAAACAGCATTTGCTGTCACCTTTCCTCCATCCCAGCACCAACCCCCAAAATTGTTGCCATTGTGGTTGGTCAGGCCTTACCTGGCCCTCCTCTTAATCTTTAGGGTTCATCAACTGTTTAACTAGAAGATGAAGATGTAGTGCACGACTTCAGACTATTGCTAGCCCACATGACGAAATGTGATCATGGTGATGTTTCGTCATTAATTCTGTAAAACCTCCGAACTTTAAGTGTGGTACAACTCAGGCCTATACCTTACATGCCTAACAACTACGACGTATGCACTAAAAATATGCCTATCCTTCTTTAAATTTCCTCATAAGTACTAAACTGCAAATGATGACTCTCAACCACTGTTCAACAACCACACATTCTCTCGGATCGTCCAAGTTTGTCTTTTGAAACTTGTACAATAGAGAGCGCCCTCTTACGTTTTAGAAATTCAATTCGATCCCTAGACTACACTATATGCTGTGTCTACACATTGAGATGTTTCAGCGGCCACCAGTCTATTAAAAAAAATGGCGGCGCCCGCTTGTGGAGGAGGCCTCAAGAAATCTCAGAAGCTTCTTCGATTTCATATCTTCAGTAAACCATCCTGTAGAGTTAAATGCTACTGTACAGACACCAATAAGCTTAAAAAATCCGGTAAACCCGTCTGAAATAAAAAATCTATAAAGTAAATGTTTAGGTAGAAACGTGAACATGCTGTAGACACGTATTGCATTATGATGTACACGTTGGTAAGGCAAAAGTCGGGCATTTCCGACAGATTGTCTCAAATGCTTTTTATGAGCTAAATTCGAATCACTTACAGCAATAATTCTAGAAATTAACTGCTGCACATACTGTGACCATATATAGTTCAACATGCCTAATTTTTAACGTTGATTTTTCAATTTCTTTAAGTTTAACAACATAGGCCTTACTAAGCCTCATCGCGAATACTGCATGGGTGATTTTGCACAATGGTAGAAAGGCATTGTGGGAAGGACAAAGGAGCAAACATTGCCCCTTTTTACTTCCCACAATGCCTTTCTACCATTGTGCAAAATCACCCATGTAGTATTCGCGATGAGGCTTATGTTCAAAGAAGTTGAAATCAGACCTGTTTCTTTATACTTGTGTTAAGCTAGGCTTCTTTGCTTTTAGAATTTATTCACAGAAAGAGTTGTCATGGTTGTACATACATGTAAGCTTCTCTGAGAATAGGAAAGAACTTTCTCGTGTATTTTTCTTTAAAATATCTGGCCTTTTCCTACTCCCAGAATTGTGAGGCACTCTCTGTATGCCTCACTGTTTCAACATTTCATTGCTTTGTAATTCTGTGGAATTCTGAATGTGCCCGTTTACTCAGTCTAAAACTGCTTGTTTTTAATAAAGCAACCTCATTTCCTCGGGTACGATCTTGCTGCATAAGTTAGTTCCCCATGGAGTTGAGGTTTCCGATGAGGCAATGACACAGTCGAACACATCGTACATCATTGAACCATCGCCGTCTCTATTATATACGTTTGGAGGGCTGGGACAGGACGGGAACCAGTCTTCCGTTCAACAGATGTGTGCCGCAGTATGCAGCTAAAATGTGCGGATTGTTTGTTGAAGCTTGAAGAAAGTCAAGATCATAAGTAAAAGGTCTGAATTTTGCCCAAAATAGCTCAAAGACCATCCAAAAACTATGTGAATATGTGGTAATGAGATATTATTAAGTGTGGACGGCTTTTGGGGGGAAGATTTGATTGAAAAAGTGCACTTTTAAATGGAGTAAACATGCACAGTTAGATTCCCTTAACATTACAAAGCGATGAAAAGTTGCAACTGTGAGACACACTGAGAGTGCCTCGCAGTTCTGGGAGTAGCTTTTTCCCCAGCTTAGTGCAATTCCCAAACTAGACCCGTAAACAGGGCCCTGGTAAAGTAGGTAAAGAAGGTAAGTAAAATTTCATATCTCCTACACCGCAGTCATGACAGCGTCAATCAGACGGCACATTGCAGTGCAATTGACAGACACACTGATTGCACCTAGTATAAAAAAATATACTACAGTATAGTCAGTAGTTTTGTTCTGCCTTGGACTTCTTATTTTAGTCGGCAAAAGCCTTTCTAAAAGCCCCTTCTGGCAGAACGTCAGAGATCGCAAGGACGAGGCATCTAGGAGTATTCTGGTGAGGTTGTCTGGCAAAACGTCTGAAGACAGTCTGCTGCAGTACTGCACAAGCCATGGCAAAGTACAGCATTACTTCACGTACAGCCAACTACAGCAGGTAAGTCCATGCCTACATGAAGCACGGCAGCATTGAGGTAGCAGGATTTATGGAGGGAAAAGTTCCACATCCTTCCACCACAATTCTTGAGCTTCATGAAGACAGAGCCTTAAAAATAGGATTTAAAAAAAAATTTTCCTCAGACCTTTTGTTTTTTTCTTAGCGGAATGGACTTATCTTCCATGGCATACAAGGTGAGATGGATTTGTCATGTTCTGAGGTGAGGACGCGGTGGCTTTTTGTATGAAAAAAAGATTGCGGGATGAATATTCATGTAAGTGGTACCCCCATCCAGAAGAGTTCGTGAAGGGAAATTTAAATACTGCCAGAGCATTTGTGACCTGCTCTGCAACAATGGGTATTAAGCGATGCTGCGTTGTTTCATGCTATGGGCTGTTCTATGTGGAGGGGGGGGGAAGAAATATTTTAAAAAGTTATTTTTTAATTCTTGGTTTATTGGCTTTCATAGTTTATTTCCAGAAATATTATTATTGATGAATAAAGATGGAAAAACAAACATTTTGTGTCCATTTTGTGTGTCATTTGTTTGACTTTTTGTCAGTTTTGGGGAAGAAAAACCTCCAACGTTACGCCTTCACAGTGTATGTATGATTATGCAAACTTCAGTATGTCTCCGGATTGCAAAATACCACAGGGTTCAAACCTACACCGAATTAAAGCTTATAACGTAACCAATTCAAATGTGTAGGTAACTCATTTTAAAAAAAAAAGTCCCATAATACCCATTTTTGTGGATCCGGTCACATTTTAGAAAGGCGAGGGCCAATGATCTACCATTTTAACAACTTCAACTTTGCAGAAATGCTAGTGTCAAATCTGAAATGAAGTTTAAGCGTTCAAAATACTTCAAAAGGGTTTGAAATTCACATATACCATGTGTTGCATATAGTGGCTGTCAACAAACAGAACACTTTCTATTGAACACTTTTATGGAATTTTTAATAAATAATGGTACAAGAGTCAATCAAGCGCTGAACCTTCAAAATGTGACCCACTCTGCTAAAATGAGTCTTAAGTTGCCAAAGCCACTTTGTGAGTTTTCGTTTGTATTGGAAAGAGCAAACTGAGTTTTTTGCTTTGATGTAACACTCAGTTTGGCATCCTGATGGAAGTGGATACTCCATGGTGAGAAATGTCGTGGGTTCCTATTGATTTACACTCTGCAAAATTTTTCTGAAGGACTTTTTACTCCAAAGTGGCTCTGGTGACTTAAGACTCATTTTCACAGAGTGGATCGCAAATGGGTATCAGATTTGTGCTATCCTTTTCAATCTTTTGTGCTACAGAAACAGGTGTCTGTTTCGATTGTTCACCATTCATTCAGTCCTTTTCTCTGTCCTTTTAGAGAATCAATAGACCCAGGATAATTCGGAAGTTAATCTTAGGCGTCGGGCACTAAAAATAGTTTTTCCTTTTTTTTATGCAGGAGCGTTATGCAGTGGTAGAGTTCAAGACACCTGACGGAATTGATCTCATCCTGGACCGGGCCCAGACACCTGGCACAAATGGCCGGATCCAGTCCAGGTTCCTCAGTTTCTCCGGGTCTGGCCAGGGAGGCCACCGGAGCACACCCTCGCAGTATCAGCAGCTGAACAAGGACTGTAGCTTCGCAGAGCTGTACCAGGATCTGGCCACAGCCCAGTCGGTGAGCTCCACCTGTGCCACGGTGCTCGTGTTCCTTTGGAAGACACTTTACTGCAATTTCCTCCCGCCGCTCAGGATCACAAATGGGTCCCTGTTAGGGGCGGGAACAAATTGCACTGATCTCAAGCTGCTGCAGAATATTGATATCATGGCCCAGTGAACGGGGGTAATAATAACCTGAGTACTTTTAATCCTGTGGCAGTAAGGCACTCTATAAATGCAGTATTAAATTCTTTCACCGACTCATTCATTCTTGATGCTTCAACACCACCTGCAGGTCTCGGATCAACTGGACATTCTGACGTCCAAATTGGAGCTGAGGGACCCAGAAACCCGTCTACGATTCCTGGTCAGTTCACTGATCGAGGAGGCCTTCCAGCGGATCCTCCCCGACTCCTCCCTCCACCTCTTCGGCTCCTCAGTCAACAGCTTCGGCCGGCGCAGCTGCGACATGGACATGTTCCTGGAGCGCAACACGGCACAGGGGGTGGTCCCCATGAAGAAGGTGAGCAAGGGTGGGGCTTGGGCTTGGGTTGTAGTCCCTGCAAGTCGTCCGGTCTTGAGCTGGACCACTAGCCGTGCAGATGAACCTTGATAAAGGTATTCCTTTTGTCATGGTTCATCTGCTATTTGTGATGGAGCTTTTGACTGGACTTTTAAAAGGACTTAGGATTGGACTCGACTACCTCCCTGCTGGTGGCCGATTTGCCAAGCTCGAAATGGACTAACTTAACCAAAATAACATGTCATTAGCCAAGCTGTCATGTGACTTATATTGTTATTGTGACCAGTTCCCATCTCCGGTTTGCCTATCTAAGGAAACTTGCGAGGCAAAAAGCTACTCCTAACAGCTCTGTGAACTTTGGTGCAGATTAGTAAATACTTGTGAAACAAAGACTTGATCTGTAGCACCTCACCCACAGAACTGTCACAGATTTGGGCACCTTTGGTTGACTAAGGGCCAGCGACCATTTAGACCCAGTTTGAAAAGGCCCCCCCCCCCGGTAAGCTCGCCCTGTTGCAAAAACCCCTTTCATACCGGCCTGGCTACCAGCC